TCATCACTCTCAAATTCAGTATCTATAAGGTTTTCTTAGGGATAGTGTAATACCAATAATAAATGAAATTATTGAGGTAAAATAGTTAGGATTTAGGCAGAAAGCTTTATATTGTTTTCACAAACTCATTTCCTTCCTATCTAAAGCTTTTAGATGGACTATACAAAGCTGCTAATACTTGACCTCTTTTGAATGGTCACAGAAGTGGCAATTTCCTATGGTTTAATGTAGTGACTTTAAGAAGTATTTCTTTGTCTATTTAGAAGAGCCTTGTGAATATCTGAATATACAAATAATAAAGTTATTTTAATTACTAATTTTAGACAAAAGCGAAAGGAAAAACGCAAGAGAAAAAAATTAGAGCGACAGTGTCAACTGGAATCAAACTCAGATGGAAATGACAGAAAACGTATCCGAAGACACGTGGCTCACAGCACCCTCCGTCTTATCATTGACTGTAGTTTTGATGACTTTATGGTATTAAAGGTATTATGAATCATTATCAGAAAAATTCTGTAGGTGAACTAGGCTGAATCAATCTTGTTTTATCACTTTGATATAAATTTATGTACTGTAATGTATCTTAAGTTTTTCAAGATCTCTACCCCTAAGTTACTGAGCTAGTAAATTGCTTTGATATATGTGTGTGTGTGTTTATGTGCATGTGCGTCTATGTATGTGAAGATGGGGCGAGAAAGACACACACAATTCATAATGAGACGATAAAACGGAATAACTGCATGTTCATAGTCCTGAAGATCTGTGGGGTTTTACCAATGCCATTTACCAATGCATTATTTGTTTTTGTCTCTTAAGAGAGTAGATATTTTCATGAACTAGCATTTTAAATAGACACAAAATATGAAATAATGGGTCACTCACAGAGTATTTACTTACAGTAATTTTGTTAATATGTAAGGAAATCAAATGAAAATTATCAGAATAGACTTGTATGTAAGAAGAAAAATTGTACTTATCTAAGTCATCCCTTCTGCTTATTCTAGTCCTTTAAGATCATGGAATGGCTGTACACGATTTTGATAATGTTCCTTTAAAAATTGCAACTTTTATAGGACATTAAGAAACTTCACAAGCAGATACAACGATGTTATGCAGAAAACCGACGCGCACTGCATCCTGTGCAGGTATGTTTAAAGAGTTTAAGACAGACTCCAGTTTTCTTTTATATCCTCCATGGCAAAAACATAGATAATTCCGATTGTCTTTGCAAGATTCTTGCATGTTTAACGTCTATTTGAAAAATGTCTTCTTTTTCTACAAAAATCAAATCAAATATTTAAAACATATTTTCACATATGTCATTCTCAGACACTTTCCAGTCCTTATCTGTCCTGTACATGTTGGCCTGTTCACTGCTGTGTAGTTGAATATTATAGGACGTACACGCATTTTCATACCAGTTTCTCCACTTTCAATTCCCGAGGTGGTGGGGTGGTAGAGGGTGACCACTGCTCACTGTATGCTGCGGTACCTGTAGTAGAAGCTCTGTCTACTTAATGTAGGATTTCAGTTTCCTTTGGAGTCACTGATAATTTTGGAAAGTATTTCTGAAGTTGGGGTGAGGGAGAGATTTGGGAGACTAATTGGCTGCTGTTAAGAATAGGGTCTTTTGGTTTGAGTTATAGGTGACCTAAAACTGAACACTGCTTCACTGATGTTAAGAACCAGG